ACTTATTGGTGGTATTCTTCTTACACTGGTTCCTCATATGTCCTTGCTCTCCACAGTTCCAACAACCTTTCAGGGCAGCATCTTCCCTGTGTTGAAGTTGCCGGCATTGAGCTCTCTTGTGCCCAGGTTTATTACAGTGCCAGCAAAGTCCCTCAAACCTCTCTGAAAGCTGACCTTTTCTGGCCTTGAATCCTGATGACTGTACCAACATTGGTACCTCTGTGCTGGACTTAACATAGGATTCGAATTCAAGAGCTCTGGCCATTGCATCCTGCATGGTAGAGGGGTGTGCTTGCTTCACTTGTATCTTCAGTTGTGGATTGTCCAAGGTGTCTACAAACTGATCCCTCAGCAACAGTTTGAGGACATTGGGTGGTGCAGTTGGGTAGGCCTTGTGTGCCATACTTCCAAATTTTGTGCCAGCTCTTGCAGGCTTTCCCCTTTAGCACGGAATCTCATCCTAAACCTAGCCCTGTAGACTGTTGACATTATTTCTTCAAGTTACAAATCCCTCTTTTGACTCTCCTAAATATTGCAGCTTTCAGACATGGAGTCAAAATAGGTATTTGTAGCTTGAGGAAATAATGCCAACATTAAGTCTCAAACCTTAAGCTTGTTTGTTTGCTTTTTTTTGCAATTGCATTTTCACTTTAAGCTATCTATCTTGTTTCTGAAATTTTTTGAAGATCCCTATTCCTCTTTTTAATTTAACAATTTTCAATAACCTTGTTTCTTTAGTTTTTAATGTCCATCATAGACATAAATCTATATAATAGCAATACTGTCCTATTTGAAACAGTTTGATACAATGAAATGTGTAGTCGGTGTATGATGCTCTCTCGGGAAACAATAACAACCTTTGGCTTCATGTAGATTGGATGGCTATTGCTCCAATATTATTACCACAATATTATCATTGATAATGGTACTACATGTATGATCACTATGATGCATGGTGATCAACATACTACATGTTATGTATACACTTGTAAAAAATATATATAGCTAATATATTTATACATGCATCCTGTAGTTATATGGGGAGTCTGTAAACACTGGGTTACAGGGACTACTGAACTATATTGGAATAATGCATGGACTGGTTTTTGTAACCACATGAGTTTTATACATGCATGTTGGCTAGTATTTATATATATAAATATATATGTAGATGCAGGCATTATAGTATTTTTAAGTTGTAAATCTGTATATATAAATAGCCGCATGAATTTTACAAGTTGTATCTGCTGGTACGCCTAAGGCGTAGTAGTACGGTACAGTCAGGTCTCCATGCTCACAAGCATCAGGCTTCTGGATTGTTTC